CAAAGCTGCTCACAGCGCGAAGCTTTACGTTCCTGTGGTTATGATGTAAATTTAAGTCTGTCTGAGGATAACTGAGCTGTTTTGTTTTATTCAGAAATACTTGACTTTTCACTGACAAATGTAAGTTAGAAATTTTATAATAAATTACATTTTATTTTATTTATTTTTCTTATCATAGTATGTACCTTTTTTTATTTCCTGTATGTATTAGATTAATTATACAGCACCACCTATTGTTCTCTTTCTGCATTAGCACCTGCCGGTTAATTAAAGCTGTTATTTGATTGGCTGATATTAACGTCCTCATTAACAGTTTTACTCAGTGATAGGGATCAATCACAGCCCAGAATGGGAAAAGTGACGTTTTGAACCTAACCTTAAAAAATACTCTCTGGAGACTGAGCTCCAGGTTATTAACAGTTCAGCTTCAAGGTGTTGGTGCCACCTAGAGTTAGTGTTTTATATACGTGGAACTGTTCTCCATCTTCCTCCAGCCGGCGCCACTGTGGATCATCTGTCGACCTCCAACCCAACCCTTTGCTCTTGGCCACCTTTTCCTTCTGCAGCTTCTTGGCACTAACCTGGTCGTCCGTCAACCACACACTCCGTATTTGTCCAGTTCCTGTCACCTCCCTCCACTTGTTTTTCACCCCTTCTGTCTACTTTAATCTCTTAGTCTCTCCATCTTTCTCAACCTCCGTTTAATCCCTCATCCTTCTTTCCACTTGCCTCTCCCTCACCCTCTGTTCGCTTCCCTGTGTCTCCCCCATCTTCCCCCTGTCTCCTCTCTCCTCCTCCCTCTGTCTCCCTGGTGTTATATTAATAATGGAGAGGGTGCATGTTCTGCCAGACTCCATAAATTAACCATTCGATGGGAAGGAGTATTGAGAGAAGTTGAGCAACTTGGAGGAGGAGGAGGAGGAGGAGGCTGGCATGGATAGGGGAGAGCAGGAGGGGGGTGAATTTAGGAGATGGCTGCTCGGGTGAGGAAATGGAAATGTCTGAGGTTTGATCCCACAGTCTCACTTATTTACAAGATGATCATCCTACACTACAAGAGAATGTATTTTTTCCTTCTGTGGTCAGACTTCCCTGTCAGTGAGGTTCACTTAATTACCATCGAACCCTCAGTGGAACCCTCCGGAAAAGGTGGGTCTCTGACACTGTAGAGAAGAGATTCCAAAAATTGTGCAGCTGACAAATTCTAGGGAGTGGAACTATGTAAATATATTCCAACAAATCCACATAAGCAGAGGAGCCTAAATACATGTATACAATACACATTAAAACTATAAAAAAAAATACATCATTGGTGCAAGTCATCACTGATGTATAATTCTGTTAAGCCAGAAATGAATTGTAAATGCTGGAAATTGTATTTATATAAGAGCAAATAAAAAAGAAGTGAGCACAAACTGTAACACAAGGTAATTACCTTATCCAACCACAGGGGGACAAGTTCTAGACCTTTTCTGTAAATGGCAGGAAGTGCATCTGCTGAAAAACCTCAGCCAATTGCTATGTACGGGGATTATCGATGCTAAGGGGAGCAGCCAAAAGCTGTAAAATGAGGAGATGAAGAAAGGTATGACGAAGCAAAAAAAAAGAAGTCATAAACTGAGAAGGATTTTTTTTTTACTTGGTGTCACACTTCAGCAATCTTTAGTCTGCCTGGTCGCCTTCTCTTCACCCTGTACACTCCTGATCTGCTTACACATCACTTCAACCTCTTCCCTGGCCTTGAGGGAAGTCAGAAGGTCTCACACGCACGCACGCACGCGTCCAGCTGTGTGTACATGCACGTCTGGTGTGAGCCCGTGTTTGCTGTGGAGTGACAGTTTGGGTTGTTGATGCTGTACGAGGCCTGCAGTCTCTGGGCTGAGTGCCCTTGAACTGATAAAAGCTCTGTAAGCCTTCAGCCTCAGACCTATTAGACATCAGGCAAGCGCTACTGAAAACACTCTGCCTAATGCATAGACAATGGATGGGAGCAAATGTGAGGGTGCGTGTGCCTGTGCACGCTTTTAGCATTGAAGGGTGGAGCCAAAGTGAGCGAGTGTGCATGATTCATCATCCATGATGTAAACAGAGAGATGAAAGATGGATGCCTCAGCAGACAGTCAAAGTCATCACAGCGTCAAAGGGAGGTCTGTCAAGGCCCTGCTCCCTGACCAGAGGCCGTAAAACACAGTCGCCCCGAGACCCCACTCTAAATCACTAGTTTGCCTCCAGTCACAGCAAATTTGATTTACTGTAAGTCTACGTCAGCGAAGTTCATTTTATATCACCAACTGTTTCATGGTCAGGAAATGCAGTGCATTTTTTCAACAATATCATCTTAATATGTCTTTGTTCATTTTTATATAAGGTGAGCTTCTCATATGGGTGTCAGTATTTTTTTGGGTGCAATACCACTCCTGGCCAGTAAGGGTTTGCTTTGAAAATAACCATAAACCTTTTTTTTAACCAAATAGTTCTTCGTGAACAGGTCACCAGATTCAACACTTTGTATGAACCATCTAACTTGACATTGGAGTTTGAAAGGACACCAGAGCTCCTGGAAAAAAATGGAGGAAATGCTAACTTCCCAACCAATCCACTTTAGGATGGGATTCACCTAGTTACCTGACCTAATCCACCATTTTGCACAGCAGCAGTTGAAATCATCTTTCCATCTTCTGAGAAAAATGCTAAGGTGCATTAGCATATATATATTTTTATATGTGTATTTACCATCCAGGTCTCTGTGCAGCTGTGCTGTTAAATATTTGAACGGACGACTTCGTGTCACGGTAAAGAACGACGCACACACAGCAGTCATACGATGGAATTTGATTAAAAAAAGAAGCCCACAAAGTACAACATGCAACATTCAACCATCATGGAAATGCATCTAATGAACAGGCACTGAGGGGGTTAGTAGGACTGTTGTTAGACAGAGGCACTACTGCAATGGTATTAACAATAACTGAAGCTACTGGCCTGTTTCTAAAACAACACTGTGTAAATAAAAAACCCCCAGTGTGATTTAAATAATGCTGTGAAGTTCTGCAGCGTCCACTGTCCACTTTAAAATCATTTGGTTGGTAAACAACGCTTCTATTCTTAGAACTGCATTTGAATAATGTTTGTGGGTTTTGTGACAACAATTAATAGAGTGTGTGTGTGTGTGTGTGTATGTGTGTGTGTACCCCTGGGACATGGTGAGGAACAACTGAAGATAAGAAATGAAAGATAAAATCAAATGTGAAGCTTGTGTGTGTGTGTGTGTGTGTGTGAGTTGACAGTGGACCGTGGTCCGTTTCCCTCTAGTGTATCTATTAATAAGTTCAACTGGTTCTATAAATACAGCCATCCTCGTTCTCCGTACTCTGTTCACTGTGTGATGATAGGCTGTGATGGTCACTGGTTTGGTAAGGACGTGTGTTTGAATTGTTCAGTGTGTGTACATACAGTATAAGGGGGGGGGGCTGGGTGGGCTGTATTGAGGACTCTTTGTTCTTCAGCATTCAAGTCAGTAGTCAGTTTGACTCAGTTTGGGACGTCCAGTTTCTGCGCCTTTACCTTTAAATGGTAATGAGCCACCACCGGCATTACGTAACAATGGCACAAGTTGAACAGTAGGAGACAAATGGCTGCAGAAACGTCCTATTCTCCACGTGTCCAGGGGCGCAGCTAGGGATTTTGGACCCGTTTACTGGGCTTCTAACACAGCTACCTGGGAGGCCGGTGGAAATACTTTGATGCTATTTTACATACAAAGTTGATGGTACTTTTGATTATCATTCCCATTCACCTTAGTGTCTCAATATTTTATGTCACTTATAATTTTATTGGGGGCCCCTCTTAATGATGGACCCCTACAATCCTCCTCCTTCCCTCCATCTTTTCAGTGTGCCAGATAAACATCTGTGGTTAGTTGTTGCGGTTGTAAATGATAACCTGGCAGCAGTGTATGATTAATGTCAATGGCTGATAGGAATGTTGTATGGGTGGAGCTAGCCAGTACGGAGTGACGGAGGGGCTGTTAATATAATAACCCCTTTGTGGATCACTGACAGTCGCAATATAATTTTGATTAAACATCAATTTGGCATAATATGTTCCCTATAAACAAATTAATTTAACATGTAATGATCCCATTTAGAGGAAAATAGACAATATAGCACGGCAGGAGTTAATATAAATGACCACAGTGTGTGACTGAACCACCGAGTGCCTTGCACTGCATTGGTTTTTCCTGGCAGGACCGAGCAGAGGAGACCCCAGGGAAGACCCTGAACCCATCACAGTCATTATATATTCCATCTGGCCTTTGAACACTGTCCCTTTGGAGGAGATGAAATGCATTTCCTGGGATGTCTGTTTTTCCATGCATGTGGAAAGGACTGGATAGATTGAAGAAATGAGGGACATTAACTGACACGCTTAGAACACATCGGTTCTACACAGAGACAGTGAAACTGGAGGGTTCATATTATTAAAAAAGGTTCTATTTGATTTAGTATTAAAGGCATTCATAAAGGTACCTTTTAGTAAGGGAACAAAACAACTCAAGACAGTTTCCTTTTATAGTATTTATTACAGGAACATGATACTAGTCCTTTACTATGATCAATAGCTGGATTTGTCACATTGTGTGTTACAAAGAAAAAGAACCCAAATGCAGCACTCGGGAGATTGATGACTAGGTGGAAAACATTTTATTTAACAGTCCACACTTAAACTGAGGAACAAAGGAGAAAAGAGGAGGACAATAATCATACACACATGAGAGAGAGAGAGAGAGAGAGAGAGAGAGAGGTATAAACCCAGGGCACCAGGTGAGACTGGTGTACAGGTAATCACAGCACACAGGTGAGTGTGATGACACTGGTTACCAGCAGAGACAGGCGGACAGTATTTTGTATCTGGTGATATTTTTGTGATGTATATTGTGATATTATAATTATATTTACTATAATTTTGTCTTTTTTTTTCATTATTTCACTGCTTTACATAATTAGTGAATGCATGCACGGGTTCGTGAGAGTTGTTTAAATATTTTAAAATATTTGTAGTATTGTCATTTTTTACTGCAAGCCTGAAGGACAATTTTCTGTCATCTCTCACAACGCAGCTATATATATATATATATATATATAAATATATATATATATATCTCAACGCTGTAGTCCGCATAGTACGTTTCTTCACCGGATGCCCTTCCTGACGCAACAGACTAGTAGAAGGAGGTGGAACGGAACCGGGAACCTCATGGATGTCCAGCAGGTGTTCTGCTGTTTGAATGAATCGACTGGAGCTTGAAATGTTTGAAATGATTTTATTAGTTAAAAAAGATGATGCCACGGTCAAAGGAAGTTGTCGCCAAAGCAGGGTTTCTTAAAAGGATTGATGTGCAAACTGCGTGTGTGTCGTCATCACGCTGGCAAGCAGGGGAGAGGTGGGGTGGGGTGTGTTTGTGACGTCAGCAGCATCCCTCCGCCTACTCTTCCTCATCACCCTCCACCTCTCCCTCCCCCTCTCCCTCTCCCTTCTGGATGCTGTGACTGAGCTCCTGTGCGCTCGGGTCTCGCAAAGGCTCAACTCCTCCTTCCTCCTTCTCCTCTTCCAAAGATGTCGCATGAACCGCGGCGTTTCTTTTCTTTCCCCTTCATTCGTCCAGTGGCCCAGAGCGTTCGGCGAATTAGGCCAAATTAGGAGTTCAGCATCCAACCTCCGTGGGACAGGAGTGTTCAAACCATCAACCCGGGCGCATCCTCTCTCTCTCTCTCTCTCTCTCTCTCTTTCTCTCTCTCTCTCTCTCTCTCTCTCTCCTCTCATCCACCGCAGAACTCCGTCGTCCAAACTGTCAGGTGACCGCGCACAGTGGAATATTCATCAGCGCCGTGCGTCCTATTGCCTCCCTTCTTTGCTCCTTCGGACTCCAGGCGACCGGAGCTGCTGCAGCCCCGACTTTCTCTCTCTCTCTCTCTCTCTCTCTCTCTTACTCTCTCTCTCTCCTTCTTCTTCTTCTTTCTCTCTCTCTCTCTCTCTTACTCTCTCTCTCTCCTTCTTCTTCTTTTTCTCTCTATCTCTCTATCTCTATCTCCCACTCTCTCCTCCTCCCCCTCCTCAGCTCTATCCTCTCATCTGGTTCGGGACATTCTCCGCTTTTACGCGCACGCAGATTAGCGGGGATTCTGCCTCCCCGCCTGCTGATGCTGATGCTGATGCTGATGTCCTTGAGCTCGGCCTGCACACGGTGAGTCGCTGAGTCCGTGCGTGCACGCGTACGTGACTCCTATTTACCCTCCGGGTGCATCGGTGAACTAGTATTTTATTCATGAATTTTAAATCATAAAAATGTCAGACTGGTTCCGTACACGCACGAAGGTTTGTTGTAGGAGAATGTGAGGCAGGCCTGGTGTGACATGTTCTCCCCACGGGCCTGCTGTAATCACAGTAAGAGTTCGTACAGTAGGACATATCATAATACCCTGGCGAACAGCGTTATGACAGTAGGAGTGTGTGTGTGTGTGTGTTTGAGGATGTGCCATTGCGCTCGGGTACAGCTAATGATCTCCATCCGTCCATCCGTCCATCCATCCATCCCTGCATTCTCTCCTCCGTTTCCTGTGTAACTGTTCTGAGGATGGAGCGCTGCAACATCATCCCCGGCCACCGTGCGTCTTCACCCCTCCTCCCCGCTCCTCTCTGCGCGGCCCCGGGCCCTGGATAAATGCAGGCTGTGCGTTGGATCCGTTGCTTTTGGTTTGTCGCACCTGCAGCGCCGAGCTGAGAGGGGTTCGACGGTGCAATGCCGACGATCACCGGCCGGTGGCACCTTCAGCTCTCAGCCGGCGAAGGCTGCATTTGAGTGGGGGCGCAGCGCGCAGCGGGCTCGGGCGCTGGGCCAGGCCGGTAACCTTGCGGAGGGACATAGGGGGTAGAAAGCAAGTGTGGCGCAACAACCACAGCCACACACACGCACACGCGCGCGCACACGCACACACATACACCGGTAAGACCTTGTACTTGTGTGTGGGAATGGCCTCATGCAACAGTGTTGCCCACACAAAACGACCTTTACTGGTAACCTTCAGACGTGCGTGAACATCTTCTTCCTCTCATCATCCTCCGCATGTTTGATTGGACTGAATATGAGGTTAGCTGTAGGAGAAGCTGACAGGTTACCATCTGCAGGTAGGTGCTGTGATGCAGGACCTGTACTGGTCCGAGCACCGAGGCTGGTCGTAAAGATTTGATTAGTCATCAAATGTTGCTGGGGTAAGATTAGCGTCAGGACGGGGCAACTTGGGGTAAAGATTGAAAACGCTGACATTTTCCTAACGATTAGTTTGACTAAAAAAGGAGACAGGATTGGAGTTAGGCGACAACAGGTCAGGGTCAGCTGTTGCAGGTGTGTTTTTGTTGTCCTTTTCTGGTCCAAAGTTCTGGTCATTTTTCCATACGACTAGAACTAAGGATCTGATGCTGGACCTGTGGGTAAATGGTGTGATGAAATATTGGAGTTAGAATATTACAGGTTGGAGTTAGGGTTTAAGTAGAAGGTTTTTTTTGTGTTGTTGTTGCCTGCAGACAACTACAAACTAAATAAGTGCCTATCAACATTAGACGCTCGGAGCTGAGTGTGAGGTGGATCCCTCATGTGGGACATCTTCCCTCTCTACACCACACACTCCCTGCCTCTCGCTCACTCCATCAAACTTTCGCCATTATCCTCCTTCCTCCTCCCGCTGCTTTAATGCGCTCTACGGTAATGCAGATGTCTGTGCCCCGTTGGCTGCCCACCTTTTAATGGCTCTAGCCACTGACTGTGTCGAATTCTAAGTGTGCTATTCCCACTGGGCTTTACCGAAGTGTGTGTCTGGCGCCCAGCCAGCGACGTCAAGGCAGCAGCACAGCAGCAGCAGCCCAGATACGAGCACCCAGCCAGAGGTGACCCTTCAATTGCCTGTCGGAAAGTAGGACTGCAGCTGTACAGGTGGACTGCAGTTACAGAACGGTTGCAGGAAATCGACGTAGCTATCCTGTTGCACAGTGAAGCCCAGTAAATACAGACGTCAGTATATTTGACCGAGTCTTACTTGGTTCATATTGTCAGTTAACATTTTCCCAATAGTTTTGTATTTGTAGTAATTACTACTTTAGCTCTTTTTCAATCTCATACTTTTGAAAGCTCTCAAAGTTTAATCCTATTTAGTGGAAAATACACAAACATGAAACACTGACCAATTTTTCCACCTGCGATTTCTTCGATAACCCAGTTGTCATTCAAACTTCTTCAATCTTCTTATTTTCTTCTATCACCTCTCTGCCCCTGAAGGATGATGATTTAGAAAACTGACACATTATTTTATTAAAAAGTGATTTAAAAATTAGGATTTTCCAGAGTGACCTTTTCAGAAACGTGAAATTTAAACTCATTTTCATTCCCTCTTTTTAAGAACTTATTAGGGAAGTCTGTTACAATAACACATTGCAGTAGATATGAACAGAATGTGAACACATTTTCAGTAAATAATGGGCTTTCTGGTATAGATAAAGTGTGTGCCAAAGTATGTGATTTGGTTCCACGTTCACACAGTCAGTGACTGCAGGTTCCTCTGTGTGGAATTCTCACTGTCCGCATCATCATTATGTTCTAGACAAGACCTTATGATAGCATTGAAGTCTAGTGTCTGTCTGACAGAGACTGGACATATAAACCACGTTCACTTTGTTAAAAGTGAAATGACTGTCCTAATGCAGGATGACCACTGGTCTGACCAGTGGTCAATGATGGTGTGTCTGTAGCGTTTAAGCTAATGTTTTACTCTGAACGGGCCATAGTTGCGAAGATGAGGTTGTGTGGTTGCTCTTCTCTACATGGACTGTCTAACTGGACTGCTGCTGTACCCCTGCCCTCACTACATGTCTAGGAGCCTCACAAATCCAGCAGTTGAGGATTAACAAATGAATGGAAGCTCCCCCTAGTGGTTACTTGCTCCTTCGAGTCTACCTCACGATCATTATATTTAACACAGATTATCCATTTACTGTATAGTTGCAGCCTTTGGTGACAGTATGTGTGTCATTTAAAAGCTGAATTGTCTCAAGTATCATAACTGAGACATAAACATGTGCTAAGGAAACGATTTTTAACCTAATATTTAACCTAATTTTATGTTAAAAAGCTGTGCTGTATTGTTGGTCCTGCAGAAGCAAAAACTACTGGTTACATTAGCATTTGCAGAGATTGAAACAGTCAAAGAAATGTCACTCAAATGTGGACAAATCACCCTTAAAATAATCTACAAAATAAATATGTCTGAATAAAAATAATTAACCATATGATTGACCCTAGTCCTTCTGGCCATTTGTCTCCTCCCCCTGTGCCCCTCACACTTCACTTCTCCTTTTTTTCCCTTCATTTTAATAAAGACAGAAATAGCTCAAGGTAAAAGAGTGGCCACTTTCTATAAAAAGGAGAAAAGATGAAGTCAAATAGCTGCAGTCCTTTTGAGCACGGTGTGTAGAGAGGCAGCGTTAACGCGTTCATAGCTCCGTAGCTGAGGGCTGAGCAGACCTTTGTCTGACTCCGTTCATGTTCACGTCCATCCTCCTCTTCACTCTTCCTCAGTAAGTGCCGTGCTGTCCTGTGTTCCATGACAGAGATCATGTCAGGGATCAGTCCCCAGGCCTCAGCGCTGGCGTGTCTTTCTCTGTCATTTTTCGGTGTATATTCATGTTTCCTGCAGCTTGAGGTTGGAAGTGCAGGGTGTTTTTATCAGTGAATGTTCTGAATGCGTAACAAATTCAGTAACAAAGTGTTTGTTCTTTCATCTCTTCCTTTTCATAAGGTTACATAACGTAAAAGCCAAGCACATACAAAGTCTGGCCCTAGGGCTAATGACGGCACTGGAATGGGAATTATGTGGCCCATGATATATATATATATTTTTTTGCTAAAACTCATGGATCTTAGACATTGTTTTTAAATTGATTTTAAATTATTTAATGTCACATATATTTCATATATATCACATTTTTTAATATTTTTAACTCATGTTAGCTTTTTGGCTTATTTTTCATTTTATTTTTCCAATTATTTCTGCAAGTTTTCCCAAACTCTGAGCTACTCTTTTATTTTTCTATGGACTTCTAGGTATTATTGGGAATAACTGAAAGCTTTTACTCTGAAAATATTTTTTTAAGCAACCTTCTACATATTTTTGTTAACTTTAAAATCAATTTAAGCATGCATTAAGTCAACTTTTAAGTCTTAATTCCACACTTTCTTGGCAAATGTTTTTTTTTCTCTTTGACACTTGTTATACAATATATCTATACAGTTTATATATATTATTTACGCTTTTAACCTAGCTCCTGTGAAATAAGGATGCTACCGGTGTCAGACAAATGTTGGTCAACATTCATGTATGTATTTTACGTGTGCTCCAGCTTTGTTAAAGCTCTGCACCGAGAAGAACATCTCAGCCATGGCTTGTACAGCAGATGAATGGGACCAAAGGCAAAAGCTGTTTCATGTGTGAGCGAAATAAAATCAGACAGAATCAGTGAGTGAGAAACCGAGGGCCGGGAAGGAAATCTACAACCGGCAGAAGAGTAAATAAATGATCGTGGTAGCAGGAAACCGATACACAGAAAGACAGTGGGGGGAAGATCAACAAAATGATGGAGTCAGAAGAGGCCGAGGGTGAAGAAGGTAAAGCAATAACAACCCATGAGAGGCTGCAAGACAAGAAGAGGCATGTAATGGAAAAAAGCACGCAGTAAATCTATACACTCTGGATTCACAGAGACAGAGGGAGGGAGAGATCGGGATGGGAAGTGAGAGGGAGAATCAGGGGCCGAACAGAATGACTCAGTGGTGAAGTGACACCCTCTGTCAGGATAGGCAGAGGCAGGGAGGGACAGAAAATAACAACAGAAAAAACCTAAAAAACAAGAGCATGAGGAGATGCAGGAGGAAGAAAAGAAGAAATTGTTAATGTCGGTGTTTTTGTAAAGCTCGCCCTTTCGGGAAAGAGATTTCTGGCATCACTGACATCGTATGTGAGTGTTTAGTTACAGCCTGCGCTAATTGCTCTTGTAATACATTATTAAAGTTGGAGGTGCATACAGCTATATACATACATATAGAACTGCAGATGCATACATATATAATAACAAATACATATAAAATATTTACACTTGCATTACTGCTTTAAATGGGTTTTAATTAGGGAGATGCGATTATATCGGCCGACAGAAATTATTGCCCGATATTAGCATATTATGTAATATCTACATAAATCGTTATTTGTTTTTCCGATAACGCAACGCCTGGGTTTCTCTAAATTATGTGTGCCATAAAAATAGGTTTGGGGATAAATGGCTGTATGTTAGAGTGAAAGTCACTAGATGGCAGCATTGCAGCTCATTTAATTAATCTCATAGTCATACAGTGGTTTGTACAGATAAATAAATACATATAACCAGGCCTATATTGGTATCGGTTGATATTGGAATTGGAAATTACATGTTTGGACAGTATCGTTAATAAAAAAGTTAATATCGGACATCCCTATATTTTATTGTAAAGATTTATAGCGAATGTTGGTACCTGTTAACTAATACAAAGTAGTCTAAGTTTTACATTAAAGATAATGTGAATTAAATAGAATGTTTGTTTTACTCCACACAGTGATGTAGTTCACTCCCCTGCCTGCAAAGGGTGCTGTAAACACATATTTTATTCCCTGATCACTGCGTTGAGTGTTATAACTGGTACCACATCAGTTGTTTGTTGTTTATTTTCACCCCTTTAAGTTTTTCATAAACATTTCCGATGACTAATTTAGCCTGCACTTTTGTCTACACACATTAGCAACACGTTTCTCCATAACAGGAACAATCCTTCAGTTTTTATTTTTTTATGTTTTTTTTACTCTGTCCCACATTCCTCACACTGCTGCTCCAAAAACTCTGTGGCTGAAAATAGTCCACAGAGTTGGAGCAAGAGCTGTAAAATATCTACAGTGACCCAGTTGTCTCAGAAATACACAGAACCACTTGTGAACAAATGATCAATTCAAAGTCATCCTGTTGTCGACGACCGCTACATCGCGGTGTAAATATAAGCAAGTCGGGCTGACTAATGTTGTTGAAGTAACTCAGCGATTACAAATATATTGGTGGTTTAACGGAACAAACTAGAACTGTCAAAGGTTTCGTTGTCGTCTTAATGAAATAGAACGGAAAATATCACAACCTACCTGATTTGTAAAACATTTTCTGCCGTTAGCAGAAATTTGAAGGAGATCTTTCTATGATCCTTTGGGCTGCTGCTGTTTTACACAGACCTAGAGATTTTCTTTCACTATATATGCAGCTTCACTACTACCTACAGTATGTAGTCATGTGTCCCAGTTTGGCTCGATGTGTCGGCTGCACGTTGTCATAGCCCAGCATCAAGATCGGTGTCGATTTATCTGAACCAGTGAATGCAGTCAAATTAAATTGCTACAACAGTCAGGTCCTATGTAGCTTAACATTCAGTGTCTTCTGTGTGAACTGCCTGTGACACAATCCCTATATGTGTTGATGGTTAGACTGTTATTCTACCTTCTGTAGACCAGGTCGGCTAATTTACCAACTGACCACCTAAAGGTGTTTTGAGAGTCAAACATTGAAAGTTTGTTTTGTTTTTCTTTGGATCCAATGTCTGATCAATAATCCATAATAATTACAGCATGTATAATAATAATAATAATAAATATAATAAATAGCTGCAGCCCTGTGATCTTAATCATTTTATTTAGGATACATTGTGTGTGTGTCTGTGTGTGTGTGTGTGTGCCACTTTTCTTACATCTCACTTTACTAAAAGGAACTCTTTGGTCATTTTTAGGTCAAAACTGATGAATTAATAGAACATTTTTAGCCACCGTACCTCTGCAACAGAACGCAGTTTCGGATCCAACCTAGTTTCTGCTTCAGTTTTAGATTTTGATGTACCGACAGTGGGTAAAAGAGTGGATCAATAACGATTTATCTCTCTGTTGCTCTCCCTCAGCTCCCGGTGGTGCAGCAGTAGCTACCTCTGAACTGGATCCACTTCCTGTCTCTGGTTTATCAGCCACCTTTACCTCGCTCGCCCCTCTCTCCATCCTTCTGTCATCCCTTCACTTCCTCCTCGTCGGTTAGTCCCTGTGCCCGTCCTCCCGTCCATGGACCGGCCGTGACCTCGGAGGGAGGGGGACAGAAACGAAGAAAGAGTGGAGTCGCAGCGGAGACAGGCGATAAAGAAAGCTGGATTGGTTCCGACATCGCGCTACTGAAGAGCCCCTGCTTGCTGCCTATCATCCCCCTCACCCTCCTTCTCCTCCTCCTGTAATGGAGAAATAAAGGAGCAGTGGGAGGTTAGGAGCACATGCTAAGAAGAAAAATCCCCAACAACCTTCTTCATCACTGCAATTAACACGTCCTTGACTACAACATTTAGGTAGAGCCAGGATTTTCACTGTGGAGCACATGAACACCCCTGAACCAAGCCGACCAAAGTGGAACTGATTTGAGGACACTCTACTGAGAGAGGAGGACCAAAAAAAAAAAAAAAAAAATTTGAAGAAAGACACTGACATGTCAACTACAGCCACCATGGGTGAAATGGCAAACAGTGCAGTGGAGTTTTATCCCAAAGGAACTCGGGGTGGGAGCAGAGGAGGTGGAGGAGGAGGAGGAGGAGGAGGAGGAGGAAGGGCAGATGGCAGCCACACTGGGGAAGACTTTGCGGTGACGGTGAACGAGCTCAGGGAGCTAATGGAGCTCAGAGGGGCCGATGCCCTGCAGAAGATCCAGGACAGCTACGGGGATACAGAAGGACTCTGCCAGAGACTGCAGTCCAGCACCACTGACGGTGAGCACGAAGGGTTAAAAATGGTATAATGGAAGGTGGGGGAGGGAGGGAGCGAGGAAGGGAGGGAGGGAGGTCCACAGGTAGACAAGCAGAAGGATGAATCGGTGGAAGCATAGGTGTACAAAGAGAATGGTTGAAGGACGGATGTGATGGACAGGATGGATGGTGGTGGATGGATGAATGGAAATGGATACAGATTCATTATTACAGTGAATAAAGACAATACACTGAGAAGATGAGGTCTAGTCTCATATAAAAGCCTTGACAATTTTAAAACAAAGACTTAAAAATGATGGAGGTCCAACAGTGGCCTCCATTACTACTATAGCAGTACTGGACACCTCCATCTGTTTTCTCATGTCTTTGCAATAGGACTTTACTCTGTCTTTTTCTGCACTTTTGATTGTATGGTATTCAGCTGTGTAGCCCTGCTGGACGTATTAATTATAGAACACCTCTGCATGTGTTCCACGGCTGCTGACTCCAGAGTTCTCCACCACAGTCAACTTCAAACTAACAAAATGTTTCTGATTGCGACCACTGACCGAGCTGACACCCTTTTCACTTCTGCATATGCATTATTAATATGCAGGAACTTTAAAAATGCATCATCTTCACTGCAGTGTAGCGCAGCAGCAAAGAGAAGAAACTCCGGATGAAATGGAAGCGTTTGAAGTCCAGCGCCATCGCGTTTCATTCAGGCAGAGCTGTCTTTACTGCAGTTTCAGACTGGGCAGTTGAATTGATTATTGATTCAGTGAGAGGATTACAGTGGAAGAAAGCATGGATGGTCAATGGTGAAAAGACCAGAATTGCGAATGATAAAGAATCGTAGGTGGCACAAACTGCATATATAGAGATGGAAGTGGGTGTAATTACAGCCCTCACCCTCCTGCTTGATGAATGGTCAAAGATTCACTCAGTGGAGACACTTGTGTGGCTCTATTGCTATTTTAGGACTTAAGCAGTGTTGTAGTGTTGAGGGAAATGTCTGGGTACATCGTCTCTGTCACTGTTTACTGTGGGACCAGCCAAGTAGGAGATTATCCTAAAACTCAGAGCTGCGCTCGTGTCCCTGCGATGGTTGCAAGAGGCAAGGTTGATAGGGCTGAACAGACAGGGTAGGATACTGTGGCTCACCAACTCTCCTGTTCACATGGTTTGGCCAATCATAGATCTGCCATGAAGATGTATGTATGTTCATGTACACACGTGTGTGTGTGTGTGTGTGGTAACAGGGGTTTGGTACCACACTACACCCACTCTTTGAACTAATGTGTAACCTAGCAACACAACAGCATGGTGAAGTTGGGCAGGAAGAAGAGTTGACTGAGTGATTGGTAGATGGTGAGAAGGAGGAGAAAGAAGTGAATTAGTGTGTGTGTGTGTGTGTGAGTGCGTGTGTGTCATGGTGTCAAACAGGGGGAGGTGGGGGTGTAGAGTTGGAAACCGTAAGAGAGTTGGTGGGTGTTGAGTTACAGTAAGTCTGTTGTGTTGTGTGTTGCTAATTTGACACTGGTCTGGAGTCAGTGCAGCAGGTCCAAATACACACACACACACACACACACACACAGACACCTGCTTTGCGCTGACATTCACCAATGACATACGCTGTGTGCTGTGGAGGAAAGATGCTTCTCACCTTGTCTTTAGTGGAAGAAAAATCACAGCTTGCATGTGAAGCTTGTGATTGATCAGTGAGCTCAGAGGAGGGAGGGCTCTGTGCTGCTCTGGATCACAGAGGACCAACACACCATGGCAATGATCGATTCATACAGAAACGCATCGCTGAGAACAATGACACTAATGCACACATAATTCACACAGAGCTCATCATGCAACCAGAACTTAATCCAGGCATGGGCAAACTAAGGCCCGGGGGCCAGATGTGGCCCGTTCAGCTTTGTAATCCGGCCCACCAAACTTGTCCAAATTATATAATGTTTATAGTTTGTATTGTGATTATACTTCTTCCTTTTCCCTGCAACGCCCACAATTTCCCTATAGATGGTCGTAGAAAAGGCTATAAGTATTTTAGCATTTTAGCCTTTATGTATGACCTTTACATGTCATTTATCTTAGTTCAAACAGACCCTCCACCCCGGGTCAAAGTTTAGGACCAACTGTGGCCCACGAGTGAACAAGTTTGCACCTGACTTAATCCCTAACTGTAACTTTTACCATTGACTTCCTAACTGTGAAATAAGAATATGAAACAATTTGTCTGAACAACATCCATACAATAATCACAAGTATTTATCTCTGCATCAGTGGTATTAACATGTAGACAAAGCTAGACTCATAGATATAGGTGGCGCTAATGCAAGTCAAAGCATCCAGTAGCACCTGCTGATCAGACCCAAAGCCAAGATTGGAGACAGAGATATTTGTTGGTACGAGCAGGATTTAAATCATAAAAAGTCACTCACTACTATTTTCTCTATAAACGTTATCTTAGGAATCTTGATTATTAAGCCAATATTTGAGCTGAGATGTAGTTGTAAAAGTTACACTATATATATATATATATATATATATATATATGTCTGGAATGTTCACATCCCAATGGTATTCCAGTTGGTTTTACTGTAGGGCCCTGGAGGAGCAAACACTGAGTGAACTGAGGTAAATGTAACACGTGCACAAACATGTACAGCATTACAGAATTGATACCCCCCACCCCCCCACCCCACAGACCAAGACACACATACAGTATATGGATCTACCCTGGCACTGCAGTATGAGACCATTATATCCACATTCAATAGAGATAGAGAGAAGGAGAACGAGGGAGAGAGAATGTGTGCGTGGGTGTGGGTCTGTGTGTGTGTGTCTGTGTAGTGACGATGGGGGGAGGAGGAGGGAGGCAGGCAGTGTGAGGAGGAAAGCTTTAGAGCAGCTTGCCGCATTGTCAAGGACACATCAAGGGGAGATTGAGAGAGAGAGAGAGAGAAGCTGTGGGAGAGAAGAGAAGCAGAAAAAACACAAGTGGATGGATGGATGGATGGATGGATGGATGGATGGATGGATGGATGGATGGATGGTGTGAGGACAGACGAGTGGGCAAGAAGAAAGTAAGAAAAAGAGGGATACGTGTGGCTGTGATTACTCAGCATAAGGTCACCTGTTTCCTCTCTTCCTCTCTCTCTCTCTCTCTCTTTCTATATCTCTCATTCACTATTGCGCCTCTCCTTGGTGAGGTTCCTGTTGAGCGTCATATTGCAACACAAGTCTTCTTTAGCAACACTTGAGGTTACACATGACTACTTGCAGGAAGCAAAAAGCAACACACACACACACACAAACACACACACACACAAGCATGTGCGCACATACAGACGTAAGGTGACGCAAAGACAGTCAGCGGTCCCGTCCAATCACAGCGTACAAATGGCCCTTCCTCCTCCCTCACGACCAATCATGAAATAATAAAAATTGGAAATGAAAAAAAAAAAGAATTAAGCTCTGCCCCAAAACTATGACATAGAGAGAATGACATCACCTGTTGCTGGGCAGAAACCTGTTTGAGACAGGAAGCCCTATCCATCCTGGTCACCATGGTAACACTCGGGAGTGAGGATTAGAAAGACAGGGGAAGAGGTAGTGGGCAATAGTTTGATGAAACCATAATTCAAAGTTATTAATTATTACAAAATTAACCAAAAATTAGTCAAAATTATAACTTGGAGTTTGTCACAAAAGCTTGATTATTTGATAAATAAAAAATAGGTTAAGAACAGGATAGTAATTTTGTGACTCAGAATAATATGCAATACGAGATGAGTAATTGGTGTTGAAATAGGTTTTTGAAACATATGTTTGTTGCACCAGATTAATGATTTATATATATTTATACATATATATGTATATATATTGCAAGCACAGACCTCCCCCCCCAAAAAAAACCCCAAAAATGTGCATTTTAATAGTGAAGAAATTATCGAAAGTCATTTTCCCTGAACAGTATTTCCCTCTAACTCTCCTTCCGTCTCCCTCAGGTCTCAGTGGAGACCCAGCAGATCTGGAGCGTCGGTATCAGGCCTATGGAAAGAACTTTATTCCACCGAAGAAACCCAAGACGTTCCTGGAGCTCGTATGGGAAGCGTTACAGGATGTTACACTTATAATCTTGGAGGCAGCTGCCATTATCTCCCTCGGCCTCTCGTTCTACCAGCCGCCTGGGAAAGAGATGGAAGGTGAGGTTGCTCTCAGCAAGCAGAACACACCTGCAACAAAGACTTGCAGTTCACAACTTTTCCACTTGGATGTGGTGTTGGATTTTGGGGGTTATTGGTGTATTTCTGGCTCATTACAAATCAATAAGTGACAGGACAGCACTGTCTGTGGATGAAGTTATAATATTACCTTATCTATTTCTGTAAATTGTACAATTTGCAACCAGAGTGCCAAAGACAGACACCGTACAGAGATAATTTTACCCTTAGTACACAAGATCTGTTGTTTTACCTCTGCCTCGGTCAGAAAGTATCAATGATACCTTTCACTGTTTCGATTCCCCATACTGATTCATGTCCACATACTGAAGAGCAAGCAACTCCTGTTTCTGCAATTTAAAATAAGCTGAATAGGTACGGTGCTGCAAATGATCTTTTTTTTTCCTAGGGCAGTGAAGGCATCACTGGGTTTACCCATCTTCTGGTCGCTTTGTTTAGATTTTCGTTAGTGTTTTTGCAGGTGTCTTCCTGTGTCCTGATGTTCTCTTTATTTACCGTCTCTCTTCTTCCCTCTGTTCAGGCTGTGGAAATGTGTCAGCAGGTGCAGAGGATGAAGGCGAGGCCGACGCTGGCTGGATAGAGGGGGCCGCCATCTTGATGTCTGTCGTGTGTGTCGTCTTGGTGACGGCGTTCAATGACTGGTCCAAAGAAAAGCAGTTCCGTGGTCTTCAGAGTCGGATCGAGCAGGAACAGAAGTTCACCGTTGTGCGGAAAGGAAATGTCATCCAGATACCTGTGGCTGACATGGTGGTGGGAGACATAGCCCAGGTCAAATATGGTAAGAACATCACCATTTTAGCCCCTCGAGAATATCTATGGACCATTCCTCTGGTGAATTTATTAATTGAACGTAATTGATAGCTAGTCTTTACTCAATATTAGCTATGATTTGGCTAGTTTAAGCTAGTTTGGGGCTAACTTAGCTACTCTTATAGCCTGTGTTAGCCTGTTAGCCTTGTGTTTAACAGATTCGTTTAGCCTTTTTTGGCCTAAGTCACATGGTATTTTTAATATATATATATATATATATATAATATGAGTTTATACTTTAAAGCATTGAATTGAGGTTATTTCAGTACGTTACCCTTCAGCTAAAGGTTGCTATTTATTTTTTTTAGCTTTTTGTATTTACCGTTCATCTTGACCTATTCTCTTTAGCACCCTTTTTTGCTCTTTTCAATTAGCACCCTTAACTTTTATAGACTTAACACATTTAAAGTCTTCCTGCTTTTGTTCAGGTGACCTGCTGCCGACTGACGGTATCCTGATTCAAGGCAATGACCTGAAGATAGACGAGAGCTCGCTGACAGGAGAGTCTGACCATGTACGGAAATCTGCGGAGAAAGATCCAATGCTGCTCTCAGGTAATTTTTACTCAGCTGTCTGCATCAGGGAAAACATGCAGGGAACAGAGTGCTCCAGATGCCTTTCTTCTGGATCACCATTTATACTCTTCAGGGCTCTTTTTTTCCAGTTTGAGGACAGTCATTAAAGTGAATTTTGAACAGAATACTGCTTTTATCCTTGAAGTGCATCAGGTTTTTTGCTGACATTCAGTGACCCAGTGCTGAACTTTCCTGTTTGCTGCAGGCTTTGGAGTCACAGTTTAAATTATAGCTTCGGTTGATACACATTCATGTGTTCCAGCCACATCTCTTTATATAAGTATACGTTTGTGTTTCAGCATATTTTGGAGGCACCTGCATACTGACAGTAAATCCGAAAAAAACAAAAAAACACAAAAAAACAAAAACAAAAGTGACTTGCAATAAAAATACTCTTACATTTTAAGTAATTACTGTACTATGAAATTTCAATTCATGAATAGATCATAATGAGTTTTGATGAGCTCTAATTCTTCCCTGATCCTACCAGTCACCTTTAACTCTCTGTTCTATTGAAATTATAATGTAACTTTATAAGAATAACCCACCAAATTCAACCTTTTATATATATATTAAAAAAAAACACGGCCTACTTGATTTTTATTAACCAATCTTTCGTTCAAACGTTAAGGTACCCATGTGATGGAGGGCTCGGGCAGGATGCTGGTGACCGCGGTAGGAATCAACTCACAGACAGGCATCATCTTCACTTTACTGGGAGCTGGAGAGATGGAGGAGGAAGGGAAGGAGAAGAAAGGTGAGTGGAAGAGTTTACGGGCTGCAGAGATGCTAAATTTAGACCAATGGTGATTTGCACTTCAAAGATGGTCTTTTAATAGCCAAAAATACCCTCCAGCTTTTTGTTAAGCTCATTGCGCAAAACTAACAGATTTAATTTTTGGAACTTACTTATTCAAAGATGTAAACAGATGCTAAAAAAATCTGGAAAGAATTTTTTTCAGCCTTCAGTCACGGAACATGTTCTCGCACATATGGATGGATTATAGGGAAAAGCTCAGCCCTGAAAGGCACGAGGGACGGGAGGCAAGTTTGAAGTGACGTCCACGGCGCCACCATCTTGTACTTTTTGGACTCATGAAGGCAGATAACGCTGCATTACTTATACTATGCAGAAAAACAGATTCTTTTAACTTTCAATATCTTAACAAATATTGGGAAATTTTGAACAGCTGTTTATGGGAGTAGTTGGAGTTTAGACCTACTGGCTAGAAGTGTTACTGCAGCCAAACGGTAATTTATTGTTGCTTCAAAAATGGAAAGTCATAAAGGTCTGTGGTAACTAACACAGCACTTTTGAATTTGTTTGCTTGTGTATGTTTCTGTAAAGACACTCTGTAGGGTTAGGGTTAGCGCTCCTGAAGATACAGCAGTGAATCTAGCCCACATACTGCTCATCAATTCTACAGTTTATATGTTAATTTCTCCATCCTGTAATCGTCCAACTCCCTTGATTTGCTTTTCCTTCCTCTCACTCAGCCTATCGTTCACTGTGCCTTGCTCACTTTCCTTTTTTGCAGCTGCTCTCTCTTGTTTTCCTCTCCGTTTCCAAATCTGAGCGAGAGAAAGAGAGAGAGCGATAGAGAGAGGGAGAAAGAGAGAGAGAGAGAGATTTAATCAATTATTGAACGAGTGGGGTAGAAAACAGGAGACGGAGCTGACACAGAGACTCAGGGAAGAGCCCTGGCCGTCGGCTGTTCAGTCAGTGCATGAAGCATTAGTCGGTGCTCAGATTTGGTTCGAAGCAGGTCCTGCAGTCGGAGCAGAGCTGTAGACAACAGCAGGGAGAAGCTACACATATACTTTGAGAAGCACTTAAGGTTAATGTGATTAGCAGCGCATTCATCCGTGCTTCTACCGCAGCAGTTCTCACTTCTGCAAGTAGTACAGTTGGTGCAACAAGAAAACAACAAACAACAAAGAAAATATATTTGTGGCCTCCAGATATGCAGGAAAGGACAAAAACAAGTCGGATGATGATGTTCGCTGTTCACTGTGCCCCAGGATGGGCCGCAGCCCTTGTGGGCTGGATGGCTCAGAAAGTCATTTACTGGAATTACTGAATTATTCATAAAACATCCACAAATGTCACAACTTGTTAGTTGTTGTTTGGTTTTTTTTCATCATGCAATGTGGGTTTTCTGTTGGGCTCATCTGACCTGTGTCTCATCTAGAAAATTAAGGTTGTAACTTTTTATAGCCTTTTGCCAACACTCTTTACAGTGCAGCAATGAATATAAACCACGTGAAAAAACTTAGTGTGGGTTTGAGGCTGAATGTTACAGAAACATTTATATTTGACCTTGAATGTCTCACAGAGTGCTTTTAATGCTGGCCTGAAATACAAATAAAATGTAAAATGTCCAGCTACGCTTCCATTGCAAATAATAATATTGTATAGATTATCATGTAGCGTATGTCAGTGTAGTTAAATAGTTTGGTAAAGATACCAAAATACAGCAAGAGTAGTAGTGTATATTGACATATTGATTTTTATACGTTGATATATTATATATATTAATATATATATCAGCTGAAAGATAACTACAATATATTCCAAAAATATCAATACCAGTGGTTCTCAAACTATGGTGCGCGTACCACCAGTGGTACGGCGAGGGCTCTCTAGTGGTACGTGGGGAAAATTCACTTTTTCACATTTACATTTTCAATTGAATAAATCTGAAACATACCATGCACAATTAATACAACATTTAAACATAAACATCTTTCTAAACATTTCTAAACATCTCTCCTGTGGTGGAAGCTAACAGTGAAGGCCTATGCTGCTATAGTAGTTTGAGAACCACTGCTATACAATACATAAGTACCAACAAGATTTTGAACAGATGCAAATTAGCTTCAAAAATGAAGGAATGAACATTTGGTTGGTGGTTTTCACCTAAATACAACCTGGTTCTCATCTTTCAATATTTTTATTCTTCCCATTTTTCTCCCTTTTGACCTTTCTTCCACCTTGGTTCCCTCCTTAAACCTTCTTCCTACACTCATGTCTTGATCCAGAGGACAGTACACAGTTGCAGATTTCAGCAGATGCCAGTTACAGAACAGTCACTAATGGTATGTGAGTCTGAAGTTGTCTGTGCTGTGATTTGCCCCCAAACCAATTATTCTACCCCAGTGCAGAGTGCAGTCCAGTGACCGTGACCCAGTGTAGTTATACTGCCCCCTCCCTGTTCATTCTTTTTTTTTTCTGCAGGTCTTCCTTAATTAATATAAACTGTTGCGGATCCACATCCCTGTGTGACCTCTCCCTGCTCATCACTGTTTGTCCTTCACTTTCACCTGATCTTCCTCTGCAGCTCTGACAAACGCTCTTTTTCTCACCCTCAGGAAAACAACCTGACGGAGCCGTGGAGAACAACCAGAACAAAGGTACAGTCAGGGACGTGGCTCGGGCTTTGTTTCTGTTTCTGTTTCTGAGAGACGAGGTGTTTTGAGCATATCGCCCCCTGAGGATGTTTAAAGATGATCATTTAAATTTTATAATATACATTTTATTTGCTAATAAGGTTCAGAACCCCTGGATTCAGTTTGAATTTGTCTACAAAATGCCTCATGATAGGGTTTAAAAAAAAGGAGGTTTACCGGGCCTGAAGGAAACTAACCAGTCTCAGGGTGAGGGCTCCACGTAAACAAGACCTACATTGTCTACTCTCATGGTACCAGGAACTAAGCCGAGTACTAGGAACTATTAGATTATAAACAAAGGTACCTGGAACTATTATTTAGCCCCAGAATAGTCTTATATTGAGCAGTTAAACCTCCACATTTACAGGAACCATCAAACTGGTAGTAAACATCTGCCTGACTGGCAGGAGCCCTGGACTCTTCTACTCCTCTTCTAAGACACCAATTACAGTATTTTTGTTTGGCTTTTATTGAATTAAAAAGATCTAAGCTTTTGATAATTCGATCTTGAAGGAGTTCCTGGTTCATTTGCATTTAACTGGTGACAACTAGTCCCAGTAGGCTAAAGATGATGATCATTGTCAGGGAAACTGACTAACCGTATTTCCATGTCACGTGAAGACTGGTGTGTGAGATCTTCTATAGATGTTTATTACAGTGGAGACACCGGCTGCTGATGTGATGGAGAACTGTTTAGTTCACATGGAGGAACCTTGACTCATTTGTGACCTTTTCCACTTGGTCAGGATGTGACCTCACAACATTAGAAAATAAAATAAAATTTTGATTTCATTTTTTTCGTTGCAATGTTTTTAAAAAATAGCCTTTGAAAATAATTCCACTCATATGTTATTACAGCTAAGAAGCAGGACGGAGGCGTGGCGATGGAGATGCAACCCCTGAAGAGTGCAGAAGGGGGCGAGGTGGAGGACAGAGAGAAGAAGAAGACCAACGTTCCGAAGAAAGAGAAGAGTGTGTTACAGGGAAAACTCACCAAACTGGCCGTCCAGATCGGAAAAGCAGGTGAGGAGCAGGTTTCTGTGGCGAGAGACGAACCAAAGCAACCCAAACTTCTCTGTGAGAGTTTTGGTTGTCAGGAGAGACGCTGCACTAGTTTCCAAAAGTGATAGCAGGATCCTGGAGCTGTCGAATTACAGGGACGTTACATCACTGAATCTTTGAAAAAAAAAAATAGGACTTTTCTCAGTCTATATCAATCCGGGTCCATGCTGTAGAGAATGATTTGATTCCCAGTGAAATCTAGATACACACACACTTGTAAGTCTGTTACACATTTGTCAAGATCCTATAAAGGAGTCTGGTCGTATCTCAGTAGGAAATGACTTTGTACGGATTGTCTCATAGGATGGAACCTTATAGTTTAAAGATTTCATTGGTATTAGCACATTATATGACACACATCAGGTCACACACATCATCACTAATGACACAGAGATTGAGCCAATATACTACAGTCAAATAGAGACTAAGTTAAGAGCTCAGTATCATAGTCAGGAAAAATATGAAACAACAACAACAAAAAATCGAATCAATAGCAAAAATGTACGGTTTGCAATTTTATAGAAATTTAGATAAATTAACTCATTATAAATAAACTCGAGTCTTTCTTTGATTTTTTTATTAGCAATTTTTATATAATGTCATTTTCAATTGTTTTGATTCTTCTAGTCTGACCTTAAGTTATCTTTAGAACCGTTGTTTTTACTCATGTCATTTCCTCACCTAACAAAGCTACTTAACTTAACGTCTAAAATACTACGACTTAAACCAAGATATTTTCTCTGTTTCCGCCCACAGGTCTGGTGATGTCAGCCATCACTGTCATCATTTTAGTGCTCTACTTTGTCATCAACACGTTCGTAGTGGAAGGTCAGTGTCTTCTAACCCACAGACTACTATGATGATGATGATGATACTCTCTACACAGACCGTATCAGTGTGACCTGACTGATGTGCCGCGTGTGTCTGTTACAGGTCGTATCTGGATGGCAGAGTGTACTCCAGTCTACATCCAGTACTTCGTCAAGTTTTTCATCATTGGAGTCACCGTGTTGGTAGTGGCTGTTCCAGAGGGTTTACCTCTGGCTGTGACCATCTCCTTGGCCTATTCTGTCAAGGTACAGTGAAAAGAATGTTTTCTTTTATCAAATGAAACCCGTTTCAGCATACCACTGAGGTATCATTTATTTTAAAACATCAAACACAAATGAAAAAGTAAACTTTCTTCCGAAATACGATCTACACGAACAGATACTCTGTTTCCTCGGCTTCCTTTATTTTTCTCATTTGTCAATCAATTCCTTCTTCAACCTCTGCCGTTTGACCCTCCCGCCTATCCTCCATCATTCTCCCCCATCTATCTATCACTGTGTCACATTTTAGAAAATGATGAAGGACAACAACCTTGTGCGCCACCTGGACGCGTGTGAGACCATGGGCAACGCCACGGCCATTTGCTCTGACAAGACTGGCACCCTGACCACGAACCGCATGACTGTGGTGCAGTCCTTCCTCGGTGAGAAAAGAAGCTGCAACGTTGTCATGAATTATAACCCAATCTAACTAAAGAAAGAGAGTCGATGAGGGCCACGCCCCCCCCAAACACACACACGAATTGAAATACTATTGACAACCTGATAACATGTATATTTGTATCTATACAAACTACTGTATGAGTTGCTGCCCCCTAGTGACTAGAGGCCTGTTATCATTCAAGCATTACATCAGTGATACACTTATGTCCAGTGTGACATATTCTATTGGAAGCCCCTCAGGCCCCCTGGGACCTTAGCACACCCCTCTAGGGGCCCCGCCCCACTATTTGAGAAGTACTGCTTTAAAGTGATGTTGCCTTTTTCAAGTTATACTATTATTGCATCATAAAATATACTATAAAACTATATAACTATTATGCATTAGATCAGTTTTTCTGGAGGTTATTGCAATTGTTAACTAAAAGCCACAAAGTAATTATAAGAATATAATATATATTAATATAACATAATATAATTCAACTGCACATGAAGCCAGTACTGTTCATATTTTTGTGTTTTTATGATATTTTATCGCCTGTTTGCACTGTGGGTCGGAGATGATTGTGACTTCATTTATGCAATATGTCTGGTATATCTGACAATAAAGTTGACTTGATGTTAGCAAAGACAAAAATGTATATGTAATATTGATTTAAAGAATCCCAGCGACATACATGAAAACATGCTTCTTTACTGTTGCAAAATAAATTCCAAGTATGTTTTTGACATGATTTACTTGTGATGTAAAAATGTTTCTGCTTCTTATACCGACACGTTGAGAACTGTTTTCCAGTGATGAGTGAAACAACAGAAGATAAAACCAGTGTGTAGGCCGAAGAAGCACATATATTTAAATTATAAATGTTTTTTTTCTTCCTGTTGCCCAGGTGATGTGCACCACCGTGTGATCCCTGACCCTGGACAGATCAGTCCCCGGGCGTTGGACCTGTTAGTCAACGCTATTGCTATCAACAGCGCCTACACCTCCAAGATCTTGGTGAGTCATGTACCGCCAGTGCGTTTTGCAGCAATTAATTCCCTGTGATTATTTATTTATACGCTTTGACTATTGTCTGTTCTCCTGTCGTCTTGTTGCTCTCCCTCTTTAATCTACCATACCACCTTAATGTGATTATGATCCTTATCAGCCACCTGATGTGGAGGGGGGTCTGGCTAAGCAGGTAGGCAACAAGACAGAGTGTGGCCTGCTGGGATTCGTCTTAGATCTCCGCCAGGACTACACACCTGTCAGGGAACAGATCCCCGAGGAGAGACTGTACAAGGTAGGTTGATGCAGCTGCAGTAACTGTGTCTGATGACGATGGACTGTGTGTAGGGATTGGACGCAGCCCAGCTCAGCCAGCGCTGAAGCATCAGAAAGCACAGATTGTGAGGGGGAAACATCAACACAGACCTCTCAAAATTACAGCTGAACCAAATATTTGTGGTCTGTAGTGTTTGTTAGTTAATATAGGGGGTCACCACACCCCAAGTGGGAATTTATTAAGAAAATTCGAGTTACGTCAACGAACCCCGACGCTAGTCTAGGATTCCCTGTACAAGCAAAAGAGTGTATAGATGTTTTAAAAATTCGTACAACACCCAACTGAACTTAGTGCAGTTATTTTTAATTATTTCGCATCTACACTAATCACTAGTCCCGTGACTTATTTTCCTGTGCCCTCCCCTTCTGTCACCTACAGGTGTACACCTTTAACTCGGTGCGTAAGTCCATGAGCACAGTGATCAAGCTGCCTGATGGTTCCTTCCGCCTCTACAGCAAAGGAGCTTCAGAAATTATGCTGAAGAAGTGAGTAACAGCGGGAAGATCAACAGCGAACAGGACGTTCTGATGACACCAGAGCATGTGAAGAGAATTAGTAATGAGGACGTTTTTGCTTGTTGTCAAAAATGTCCTCTGTCTGCAGATGTTCCTACATCCTGGATGCCAACGGAGAGCCTCGCATTTTCAGACCACGTGACAGGGATGAGATGGTTAAACAGGTGAGAGCTGATCATTACAATACAGTTGTATTAGAGGCATTATGTTACTGATCAGTTCTTTACTTTATTACACAGCATCCCTACTCTCTGTCTTCCTGCTGTGGTGATAATGATGTGTATTACCTTCTAAGAAAGAAAAGTTGCTTTTACTGAAAAGTTTGCTGTCAGTGAGGAGGACAAACTAAAAATAAGTCCCCTGAATTAAAGTCTCACCTCTAATGTCTCTGATTATTAATATTGTTCAGGGATGTCCGATATTAATTTTTTTGCCGATATCCAATATGCCAATATTGTCCAAACACTAAAATTCTGATTCAGATATCAACCGATACCGATATAGGCCTGGTAGTATTTATAGTATCTGTATAAACCACTGTATTAGTTGCTGGGACCTGCATTCCTAATACAACCCCTGATTATTATAAGAAAAAAAATTTAAATCTGCTGCAATGCTGCCATCTGGTGACTTTCACTTTCACATACAGCTGTTTTTCCCCAAAACTATTTTTAAGGCACACCTCATTTGCAAAAACCAAGCATTGCGTTATTGAGTTTTCATTGTTGGAGTAAAAAAACGATAATGATTCTTACAGTAATGACATAACTATGCCATAGTTATATTTATATAACTATATATATCATATATTATATATATATTTATATTTATAATATATATTATATATATATTATAGTTATATTAATATCCGATAATATCTGTCGGCCGATATAACATCCCTATTATTATTATTAATATTATTATTGTTATTATTACTACTACTACTAATAATAATAATAATGATAATAAATATTATTATTAATTTTATTATTGTTACTATTATTAGGTCTGTATGAGAAAAGCCCATGTGGCAAATATACAGGCCTCATAGGCATCTGCAACAGGAACCTCCTTTCTGCCCTCTATCTATTCAAGTTGAATTACATCAAAGTTATAATTAGGTCTTGGAATAAGACAACAACTCTTGGCTGATGTAGTTTGTCTTCTTCCTTGCTCTTCATTAAACCCTCAGTATAATGTATCCCATAATTCTCCCGTGACTGTTTGCTGCAGATAGTGAGTTGTGTTTTCTTTTTCCTGCTTCCTCTCTTGTAGCAGCTGTCTGCCCACCAGGACCAAGAGAGTAAAGTTTACAGTCCGCACGGATGAAAAATAATGAGCTGAAAACTCACAGCAGAGCTCCGTAAATCGGAGCGGAGGCTGCGTCGTCAGCATTCGCTGCTAGTTTTCCCTCACTTTTATTTCAGAAGTGTGTTAGGAGCACTGTTTGGATGCAGCCAAGTGAGGCTGTATACCAGTATACTGTGTTTTCTAAAACACTTCACAGTGATTTTTTCCAAATGTAGGTAATTGTAACTAAAATATAAGCCTGAAACACATGGAGGCAAGTGTAAGGATGTGAGTGTGCGTGTTTACCCCCTCACTGCCAGGGTTGACCGACCTAATTTTAGCTCGCAGCTCGTGCCGTGAGAGTAATACTGTAACTCCACTTCTTGCACAACTTTATTCCAGCTCAGTTACTCACTTGCTTTGTGGCAGCTTCGTGTCACCTCCTTTTTACATCAAGCTCTCTGCAGCCCTCTGCTGTCTGTCTGCAGAGAGCTGTGGGTCTTTCTGGCCTACAGCTGTGTCAGGGAAGAACACAGTCAAAAGGTCTTCACACATGATAGTACAATATCAGAGTCACATCTGTGTGTGTGTGCATGGCACTGAACCACAACACACATTATCGGGAGCAGAGGTGGTGACCTGAGAACGTTTAGAGTGCGTGTCAAACTCTGGCCCGGGGGCCAAATCTGGCCCGTAGTGTTATTGTATTTGACACGCGAGATCATATCAAATGTGTACTAGAGTTGTCCCGTCAGTATATAGTCCCTATATAGTCGCAGGAATTGTAGTATACGGGTGTATGCGCTATGCCATAACACATACTGCATACTTTGAGTTTTGAGTTTGACACCCTGATTTAAAGAATGAAATGACAGATCACCAACAGGCAGACTGTCCCTTTATTTTTCCCATTGAAGTCACAGCCTTATTACCCTTGACTAAATCTGCACTTTTTTAGCTCTTAAATAAATTAAAAAATACAAAATGTATCCTATAAATCTATCAACATGTTTTTAGGGATGGATGCTTTGGCTATTTAAGTTGTTTTCCTTTGAAAAATGTTGAGGACTTCATGAGGGGAGACTGTGATTTCTTTAATTAATGTCTTTTTTTGCAGCCTGCCCCTGGAGGTCACCTATTGTAATACAATGAGCTTAAAGAGTCAATCATTACTTTGGGCTAAATGGTACCACGTTAGGGATGAATACTTAGACACATGAAAAGACAGGCCTGGTTTTGAGTCGTGTGTTGTTGGTTGTGTCTATTTTCTCACCTAATAATAATGACTAATTATGATTAATTTGTAGGTAATTGAACCAATGGCATGTGAAGGTCTGAGAACCATCTGCATCGCGTACCGTGATCTGTCAGGAACTCCAGAGCCAGAGTGGGACAATGAAGCAGAGATAGTGACAGAGTTGACCTGCATCACCATAGTTGGGATTGAGGACCCTGTTCGCCCTGAGGTATGGTCATGTCTTTGATATATATACTTACTTTTAGGAGGATTTTGTATTTTTTGTCGTTTATGTGACCCTACTCTAATAAAATCCTGTTTTTCCCTCGAGGTGCCCGAGGCCATCCGCAAGTGTCAGCGCGCAGGCATCACAGTACGAATGGTGACTGGTGATAACATTAACACAGCCAGAGCCATTGCTGCCAAATGTGGGATCATACACCCTGGTGATGACTTTATCTGTATAGAGGGCAAAGACTTCAACCGACGAATCAGGAACGAGAAGGGAGAGGTGAGTTGAATTGTTTTTTTTTTTATTTGGTTTTACCTTGAAGTAGAACAAAAAGTGTGAATTGGAATAAAGGTTAAAAACCACGTGATTGTGAGGTTGAATTATTTTTTTTGCCTCCTTTGAGACATGTACCTCGGGATCAACACTGACACCTAGTGACATGAAGGAATAGTTTTTAAGATCTCCCTGGATTTCATGTTGACTTTTATAACTCGTCTCTTTTCTTGTCTTTCTCATCGACAGATTGAACAGGAACGAATTGACAAAATATGGCCCAAACTCCGCGTCTTGGCTCGGTCCTCACCGACAGACAAACACACACTGGTTAAAGGTGAGTTTCACACATTTATAATTTCTTTACACGAAATGTATTTGCATCTTTTTTATTCACACATATCAACGTTACTGTCATCACTCTCTCTCTGCCTCCAGGCATCATTGACAGCAACGTCATAGAACAGAGGCAGGTTGTCGCAGTAACAGGAGATGGAACTAATGATGGACCAGCTCTGAAGAAGGCTGATGTGGGCTTTGCCATGGTAACATGAAATTATTAGTGCTACTCATCCTCAACAATGATAACACCCTGCTCACAAATTTAAAACCTTGGCACATTTTGACACCAATGTCATCTTTGAGAGTGACATCAAGAACACCACAAATCTGTTTCCTCCTCTGGAGAACATCGCTCATCTCCATCCATCACTGCCGTTCTCTGCTGTTCAATCTGTTGAATTCCACTTCTTGATGACACCCAGACACCACAAATCTACTAACGTTTTTAACAAAGTTTCACACAACACATCACTGCTGTCCTCCAGAATCTCCATCCCACTCCATACTACACCTACAGTAGTGTTTGCATCAATCCTGTCACCGGCCTCTACCTTCCTCTTGAATTGTCGTACTCTCTGTCAGGGTATCGCTGGAACAGACGTGGCAAAGGAAGCGTCTGACATTATACTAACGGACGACAACTTCTCCAGCATTGTCAAAGCGGTGATGTGGGGACGCAACGTCTATGACAGCATTTCAAAGTTCCTGCAGTTCCAGCTCACGGTCAACGTGGTGGCTGTTATCGTCGCCTTCACCGGGGCGTGCATCACTCAGGTACGCAGAACTTTAAATGCACAGACCACATCACGGTACAAACACATTCACATATTAAACGTCTGATTCTGCCTCCGCAGGACTCTCCCCTGAAGGCAGTGCAGATGCTGTGGGTGAATCTGATCATGGACACGTTCGCTTCTCTGGCTCTGGCCACTGAACCCCCCACTGAGGCCCTGCTGCTACGAAAACCCTACGGCCGGAACAACCCGCTCATCTCACTGACTATGATGAAGAACATCCTGGGTCATGGGGTGTACCAGCTGGTCATCATCTTTACTCTGTTGTTTATAGGTAAACAAGCATTTACACACACGCACACACAAATTCACACAAACACACACATCCACCATATTATGTGGAGCCATTCTTCCCTAGGACTCTTCAGTGGTAAAAGTGCAACCAAGCTAAAACAGGCATGAGCAAACTAAGGCCCGGGGGCCGGATGCGGCCCGTTCAAAAAAAAGTATATTTTCATTATACTTTTTTCTGCAATACCCACGTTTCCCCAATAGATGGCGTAGAAAATAATAAAAGCATTTTAGCATTTTAGCGTTTGTCAAAAGGTTTGCCGAAGTCTGAGCTAGAACCATTTCTTGATTCTCAACCATAGAATACGAATGCCAAATTCAACCTAATAATCAACCCGACGTTCAGAAATTAGGCGCTACTTTTCCATGGTTCTCCATTAGAACCAATCTACTTTATATTCCCAGATAACAGGCACAGTTTAATACTATGGCCATGTTATGTTTTAAATAGTGAAAAAGTCCTTGCCTCACACTCAGTTGCTCCCATGTGTTATTTAGAGGTGATTTACAAATATCCAGTTACATCAGATACAAACGACATACTCTGTATGTCTAAGTATAGCACTGATGTCTTTCTCAGTGAAAGTAATACTTTGGTGTACAAAAGAATCCCTTGTTTTATGTTCATTCTTCCATAGAAAAGGAGAACCCTCAACAGCAACAATATTGCGGGGTTAAATGATGGTTCAAATACTACTACAATAAGCGATTCATCCAATTACAAAAATACAAACGGAAATGTTTAGGTCAATTACGTTTCTTCTGGTCACTAAAACCACCCAGGGTTACACACTGCAGCTTGATGTAAAGTGTGTTCAATCCTAAAGCACTTTCTCAACGGAACAGAACCGGATATGAAACCATAGTTCCTTCTCTCACATATCTTAACTGACCTTCTCCATATTCTACACTCAGGTGAGCGCATTTTTAACATCGACAGTGGCCGCAACGCCCCGCTCCACTCCCCTCCCTCTGAGCACTACACCATCATCTTCAACACCTTCGTCTTAATGCAGCTGTTCAATGAGATCAACGCTCGCAAGATCCACGGGGAGAGGAACGTCTTCGACGGCATATTCTCCAACCCTATCTTTTGTTCCATCGTCCTGGGGACGTTTGCTGTGCAGGTACGGGTAACCCACCGACTTTACACTTAAATCATGCTTCGCTATTTAGGTTCATTGACAGACAGATCATTACAGTATTACAGCTGCTGTGGCACTCTGCTTCAATTACTACTATTCAAATGACCAGGCTAAAGTGATCTACCTATGTTGAAAACATCAAATACATATTTACTCATATATTGTAAACTGAACATACTTTATTTATACATTATATGTTTGGGGACTGATTAAATGCATGTACCAGTTTGGCTGATGTTGAGTCAGTTCTTAGAGCAGAGGTCACCGACCTTTCTGAAACTGAGAGCTACTTCAAGGACACTTAGTAATACAGAGAGTTACTTGTTTAATACAGACTTGACAAACAATGTAATTATAATGCGTTCTGGGACATACAACAGCAGATACTCGTCTTACAATCGTTATTCCACTCATTTGAATATCATTGCAGGTGTAACTGATTCAAAAAGCATAATAGGAGTAGATTTTTGACCCTCTTTTTGACCCCTGTCTTACAGTACGTGGTCACTACTACACTCTAAAGTATTATAGTTATATATTTTTTATTTTTGTTCTAATTGCTTATGATCTAAAAGCACTTTCTCTGTGATCAACTTTCTGATTCTATTTTAATCATATTTTATATGGATTTTTACAAAAGATGAAATAATCATTAGTCAACAATGTGAATGTAGTTATAGCCATACTGTACGTTACTACTTTTTATTTAAACATTACATACACATATCTTTTACAGCATTATTGATCCGTCATGATGTCAAAAACTACAGCATGTGTTCAAATATTACTATTCAAACAAATGAAATGATATCTTATAATTGATGTAAAATAAGGTACCAGACACTCAGAGTGCCCTGCAAATTCTTTTACATAGCAACGTCCTACTGTAACACTGTGCCACAGCACACCTCACATTATTTCCAAAAAATCCGTGTTTATTTTTATCCCTTTAAGCCTAAGCCCTGAACGCGAGGTTAGTGTTTTTTATGGACATTGTTTTTGTGGACTGCTGGAAGACAAATCTCGTGTGACTTGTTTCTGTCTGCTAATACATTTTTAAGTCCGGTTTTGGAACCTGAACTTCACCAACCATCGGAGGGGTTTTTTTTTTTCACATTGAATTTACTTCACGTAGCGGAAAACCGAGTACAGTAAGCAAATGATGACAGCACAGTGGATGTGGGAGGATATTTTTTCCAAAGCTTTTCAGTGCTCCGCAATACTCCGGGGGGGAAAACAAGAGAAGAAAGAGAGCTGACAGTGATTGAGAATGTGAGAGACAAAGAGGCAGTTGAGGAATTTGAACCAACAAAAAAAAGAAGTACAGATGAGAGAAAGCTGGAGACTGGAGGCAGCACGGAGAGGTGGCAGAGTGGCAGTGATAAGTAGGATGGATTCCTCATCCTCCACTCTGCAGTAAGATATTATTACTGTACCATATGCGATACACTGTACGGTTGTCCCGCTGAGAATAATGACTGTGCACTTCAGTGTCAATGATCCTGTTGCTATTTAAAATGCTGTCAATATATCCACTGAAGTATTAGACTCTCAAGAACATGACGTCACCGACATCAACAACGCAGTGTTTTTAGAGTCACCTATAAAGTGACACTCAGACCCAATCACTCAAGCGCTCCTTAAGTCCGTCTGGAGCCAAATGAACATCCTGTGTTTGTGACCTCTGCAGATTGTGATCGTGCAGTGGGGAGGGAAGCCTTTCAGCTGCGCTCCCCTCAACATTGAACAGTGGCTCTGGTGTCTTTTCGTCGGAGTTGGAGAGCTTCTCTGGGGGCAGGTAGGCACCATCAGCCTGTTCGTGTGTCAAACCACACTGACCTCACTCTTGGCAGAAAGGTCTGATTTATATAACGCTAACCCCGAGGTGAAGCTAGAGGAATATTCTGACTGTCAACACCTCCTTGGTGGGTCTCAGGTCGTTAAAACGGGGCGCATAATTTCCTGCATCCGTGGATATGGATCAAAACTTTTTCTAAATTATACCACATTTGTACAAAGCAGTTACATCATGGGCAACTGGACTGTTTAGTATAACTCAGTGTTCTTCAACCTTGGGGTCGTGCCCCTAAGTGGGGTCAGCTGAAATGTCTAGTAACTGATTACAATACAAATCATTTCTGGCCTCAAAAGATCTTAAATCAGTCTCCTCCAGGCCTCAGTTCGGAACTGATCACATTTTCTTCCAGGTGATCGCCACAGTGCCGTCAGAGCGGCTTCCTTGCCTGAAGGAGGCTGGGTTGGGCCTGGAACCTGGGGAGGAAGAAGGGGAGGAGCTGGCAGAGGATGAAGAAGAGATCGACTGTGCCGAGAGGGAGTTGCGGCGTGGACAGATCCTCTGGTTTAGAGGCCTGAACCGCATCCAGACCCAGGTACTATTTCAGGATTCCTTTAAAGCAAATAGAAACCAAATGTTTTTTTTTTGCCAGAGAGACAAAACAGAAAACACAGAGATTTGCAGGAACAGTAACACCTGACCAGAAGCAGGTAGTTGTGGTTATTATAAATTATACTATAAGGTGTTTATTTCTGAAGTCAACAACAACAAAAAAATCCATGAATGTGTCCTGACAATTATTAACAGTATTGGCTTCTTTTTTTTTATAACTTTCAATTCATGTTTCACTGACAGTGGCTGTAACTACGGATGTCCGATATTGTCCAAACACTTAATTTTCAATCCCGATATCAACCGATACCGATATAGGCCTGGTAATATTTATTTATTTATCTGTACAAAGCACTATATGAGTATGAGATTAATTAAATGAGCGACAATGTTGCCCTCTAGTGACTTTCACTTTCATATACAGCTGTTTTTCCCCAAACCCAGGGATTGTGTTGTTGGGTTTTCATTGTCGGAGGAAAAACTGATAACGATTCTTATGCTAATATCGGGCGAACAATATTATTGGACATCCCTAGCTATAACTCTCTGTATATTGAAATAAATGTTGAGCATTTTGAGCAAGGCTGGTTTGATAAACAATCTCTATGCTGATTTTTAAAAACACCTCTGGAGGTTTTTGGGGAAAAAAGTCTAAAATATTATTATTTGGATGAGGAGATTTACTATTCGAAATGCATCTTTTAGTTTCTTTCACCTTAAAAGTCTGTCTCTCCTTTTTTAAATGTGTCGTTTTACTTGTGCCATAAAACACTGACTCCATGTTTTTTTTCTCTCACCAGCACAGCTAAGTATTCTGGTTTGTGTCACTTGGGAGAAATACTTTAGACGCTTCTAGTTTTTATGACAGCTCGTCGCAGACAGCCTTTTGTGAAGGTGGGACAGATCAACATGGCCAACCTTTCTAGACAGTTCTCCAAATGTTGTTGTTGTGAATTTATAAGAAAGTTTCCCATTGGGATGTATTCCACGTAAATACATGCAACTCAATCATTTTGCAGTATTTACAGTTTAAACTTTACAACCACAAAGTCCCTTGGTGAAAATCTTAAAACAGGATTGGATGACAGAACAACAACAACACCAACAGCCACTCGCGAGCAGCCATTGAACTGCAGTTATTGCTTGCTGCTCACATAGGTTCACTCATGGTGGGTCATCCTCATGACTCTCACTCAAGGTGCCTGTAATTTTATATCCAAGGTCAGACTTTGGTTCATAACAAAACACACAACCACATCTGATTCTCATATGCACATTCAGACTTCAACATGTACATGGGTAAGAACCATAACATGTCTGAGAGGCATCTTCATAGACTGTATATAAGAAATGGTCACACGGTTCCAACAGTGAGGTGGCACTGGTGTTTAGGAAAATAAGGCCACTCTTAATTTCCTTGGAGACTTGTGCTCTTTGTCACTACAAAATAAGTGAGATTGACAACCGGACCGTCCTATAGAATTTCGGTTGGAGGCGATGTTAGCCTGTGAATCACAGGGCGTCCTCTCGCACACACTGTCTATTTGATACTTTTTCTCCAAATGGGACTGTAATTGAGACAAGAATCTTTTGACGAAGACATGAAACCAGGGCTTGAGACCATCATCTCACGTCACAACCTGATGCACACTCGCCGTCAAAGATAGTTTCTGTCGTGTTGGATGACTCTGGATGGACCAGAAAACACAACATCACTCAAAACACACTCAGTCGGGCTTTTCGTGCCTTAACTGAGTGCTGCTGTTTTGTCTCTGTCCTGCAGATGGAGGTAGTGAGCACTTTCAAGCGAAGCGGTTCGTTTCAGGGAGCGGTGAGACGGCGCTCCTCTGTGCTCAGTCAGCTCCACGACGTAAACACTATCTCTACCCCCTCTCACGTAGCTCTCTCCACCGCAACAGCCAATACCAGCCCTGCCCCCGGGAGTGAGTCCGCCGAACGCATGCACACAAGCACACACTCACACTCACACGCATACATGCACACGCACATGCAGACACCTTCTCTCTCACACACACAGTCACACCTTGCTGCACGGCACGTGGACTGCAGTACTTTGACTCTTCTCTCTGGTTGTGTCCCCTCCGGCTCGCTAGCTGCTCGTCTGTGTGCAATGTTTCCTCTTTCTTCTGGTCCTCCTCTTTAAACAGCACCCAGGCCTGACTGGCTGTGTACGTCCGGTCCGACCTCGTGCGGACCAAAGCCAGTCCTGGTCCCAGTCCAGAGTCTGTTCATGTTGTATGTTGACCAGTGCAGGAGGCAGCTCGCTCTTCTCTCTCTGTTTGAGGTGTTCAAAAGAAAACACAATCCATGAATTGACTTATTATTAGGAACCCAAATGAAACGTGTTTTTTTATTTTAAAACGGCATAGAGTCTGACAAGTCCAGGCTCTGAGTGTCAGAGAGCAAACAGCGACTCCTCTTGCACCTTGTGCCATTTGTCAGTGAATGAGGTCAAGCGTGGTAAATACAAGGACTGTCGTCTTCTCTTTTGTCTAAAACCAATACGGTACCGTCGTGTCATTTTCGTGACTCCAGTTACAAAGAAAACACTTTGATGTGGTTCCAGTGACACAGATTTTTACGTTCCTATGGCTTCTGCAAAAATGTAAACCTTCGAGTATAAAAAGCCCCATACCCGTACACTGCTGTTTACATTTGAGAAAAGTCTCCGACTCTTTATCTGCTGCTCTTTCTCTCCTCCATTGTTTCTCTGACTGTTTTTTCGGTGGTGAAATTGATATCAACTGGTTATTTCTGTAACAGTATTTCCAGCTTCGACGTCACAAGCTCCGCCCCCTCCCACTAACACGGGTGTCACCAAAAAAAAACAAAGTCTTGAATTTTCTCTCCTGTCCAGTCTGTTTTTCCTTCCTCTTTCTCCCGCCTTCTGTCAATCACAGTTCTCTCCTCTTCTTTGAAACTCACGAGACCAGGTTACAGGTTCCCCGATTGCAGAAATATTCTGGGAAAGGTGTTATTGTTGTTCTCCATTAGTAGAGTTGTTGTTTTTTTTCTTGTAGAAGTATTTAGATTTTACCAGATCTAAATACAGGCTCTTGTGTAGCATATTATAAAGATTTCTTTAGTAAAAAAAAAAAAAAATCTTCATTTTCTTTATTTTTTTGTCATTCTTAATTCCTTAACTCGTTCCTCTTGTCATCCCTCCATCTCCTTACTAGTCTCCTTACGAGTAGCATTCATCCCTCATGTTTTCTTTTGATTTCCTCGTATGTCAGTTCTGTGCGTGTCTGTTTGCAAGTGTGTTCACGTGACGACATTTCTGAGAGCCGTAGTTTGACCTTTGACTGTATGCTTCTCTGTCCGTGTGTGTACGCGCGTGTGTACGTGTGCTCAAATGTTTGCGTCTTGAACGAGTGGGCGCATGCCTACGTGTGGTTGTGCCTGACTCTTCATTTAAATGTCCCCATGTGTCTCCTCAGTTGCCCCCCCCCTCTACCTTGCTTTCTCCTATTTACTCTTTTCCTCCTTCCATTTCATGCTGCCTTCCTCCCTTCCTCCTCATGTTGCTCCATCACTTCTTGCTAAATTAAATACAGAGAGACACAATCTGTCACCGTCAACACCCCGATTCAGTACCACTTTTTTTTCTCTGCCATCACTTTATCAGCTAGATAGAAAGTACCAGCAGGCCTGTTATTGTTAAATATATCCATTCAAACGATTAGGTTCCCATTCCCTCACTGGTGGCTTTCCTTTTCAGTGCATTCCCTTATACTTGGAGAGTATGAGGAGATGTCCAAATCCACTCTTCAACAGCAGTATGGCACTCGTCTGCATTGTCATCTACCTGTTTATCAGTTCATGCCAAAGATTGAAACCTTTGGATTTGGACAAGGAAGGAATGCTTTTGTATGAAGGGAAACCACAGAAAAATAATATGTAGGTCATATTTATTGCTGCCATCTGAAGATCACACTGCACTAGCTGTGAGATACCCTAAAACAAAACATTTTAGTTAGAAGGTTTAAAACAAACAAACAAACAAACAACGAGGCTACGACTCCATCACCGTCCTAACAGCTCAGCTCTGCTCTGCGTTGTCAATGCTGTCTTCCAAGGAAACTTGTCATGAGCTAAAGAGTTGCCATGACATGGAAGGTCGTGTGAAACAGTTTTGGCAACAGAAACGTTATTGCTACGTAGGTTTTAGCAAGCTTCTTTTTTCTTTCTCATTTGTGCTGTATAAGAGTTGGAACATGGTATGCTGCATGACTGCCTTCTCTTCATCTTCCTCCTCTCATTTCTGCTGCTTCATGCTTTTTTCTTGCTATTTCCGAAAAGTTACCAAACTATTTTTTTTGTTTCTAATAAATAGAGTAAACATAAACAACCAGGTTTAACCACTAGCGAAGGGCCTTCCTGTTTAATTTGGTTACCACCCACCTTTATATTACCAGCTTTGACCTACTGATGTGTTTAAAAATGGATGACCTTGTAAAGTCTAACACTGCCTGGGGTTGCCATTTTGGCTGCAGTCCCTTGTCTCACCATTAGTGGGTGTCTAAAAAAATCACCAGCAACTATACACACCCCTATTTGGAGGCAGCATCACACACAGCATTGGCTAGAACCAGAAGCTAACAATAACAATGCTGGTATATTGATGTTTTATGTTTACTTTTGTCTTGAATTCTTTTGAATAATAACCAGCAAACTAAAATGTGGCACCGCTAGGGAGTTACAAACCCTATCATACCAGGCTGCTGATTGGCTCCAGCCCCCTGGGAACCTTGATTAAAGAACAACAGTTAAATGAATTGGCATTTTAGCATTTAGAATACCAAAAATATCCTATAAAACAAATTAATAAATGTTGTACTTTTACTGATGATTTGACTTCAGATGATAAGGATACATCGTGAGGTCCTCCCTCAGTCCGATGACTGCTTTAATGCAGTATAATGCTGTACTGCTCCAACTGCAGTATTCTACTCTTATCTTCACTAATAGACTCATATTGAGAACTCTACAGATCAGGGCTGACTGTCAAGAGAGTATCGAGTTTGTAACTGGTATGATGAAGAAAGACCCCCAAAACACTAGAGGGGGAACCGAATATTTCAATATCATGAATCATTAAAATGATCCAAAAATCCACTTTATCTCACAGTCATGCTGAGCTGCTTTAACGTTCATCAAGTTAGAGAGAAAATAGGTCCAAAAAGTGCAGATCAGAGCCAATTCAACGATGATTTCCTAATGAGATGTAAACTGTAGACAAGTAGACAGTTGAAGGTCGTGTTACTGAGAACTTAGAACGTGTGTGGGTGTGGCACCCCTGGTGGAAGACCTTGGTAAGAGATGTGAACCATTAACCAGTCATTTATCTCACAGCTTCATTCCTGTATTTACGTTGCAGTTTGTTCTCATCAGCACTTGATTTGCACACAGCAGCCTCTCTACCTTGTGGCACCTTTTTCTCCAACCCCTCTCTTGAACTTTTTTTTTTTAACCGTCGGCGTTTTTCCATCAAGCTCTGCTGAAACAGCCAACAGGG